AGTCCTGTCTTCGCCAGCTGCTTCTTCGACCAGTTTGTCGGTTTTCGCTTGTAAGTCTTCGATTTTGTGACAGTGACATCAAACATAAATGATCCACGCGCGAAATCCAGGTCTTCTAGTTTCTTCACGTCAGTCCAGGATATCCCTGTCCCGTTTCTCGTTCCCCACTGTCTGACGCATAATCCAGTCGTCCACCACAATTAGGAATATCATTGGTGATAGAAAATAAGCACCATTGTCTGACTCCTGTGTTTACTCCAAACGCCTCGCAGTTTTCCGTTGTGGATGACTTGACGTGTACCGTTGTCGTACAGCTAGCTGTTGTTGAATAAGGTTGATGAATATTTGGGGTACGTTGTAGTATTCGAGTAGTTTCCAAATTACTTCGCGGTCAACGCTCTTTGTCCGAAGGCCTTTTCGAAGTCTATAAAGTTGAGGTAGAGATTTGATTGCCATTCCATGCTTTGTTCTGTGATGATGATGACGCATAGAGTTGCAATTTGGTCAGAACATGATTTGCCTAACTTTCCTGAATCCAGCTTGTTCTGGTCGGAGTTCTGTATCCAGTGCGTCCCTAATTCTCTCCAGGATGATGCGACTCAGGATTTTACTTGGCGTCGACAGGAGCATGATTCCTCGCATTTATATACAATCTCGTTTTCTCATTAAAGAGAGATAACAAAAATGATGAGTTGTCGCTATCATAGCTGTTGATAATTATAGTCAGTGTTTGGGCGGAGTTGATCAAGTGTATGAGAGTTACGCAATAAGATGAATAATCCCAGCAAGTGAGATGTGATCAGGAGGCACATAGGAATGAAGGAAAACATGGAATTACGTAAGAGCTCTGAAGAAATATACAAGAGTCATGAGGAGTTAGAAAAAAACAGACAAAAATGAAGTCAGCAGAAATCTACAAGGTTATTATCACCACCATGACAGTAGAAGTGGTTGAATAATTTTCATTTGTGGTATGCATTATTCCGCCTTCTCTAACTGAATAATATCTAAAGCTTCAGCAATGCAGTGAGGAGACGAAATCCTGTTGCCTTCTTCGAGGTTATTCTTGACTATGTGTGGATTACTTTGAAGCAAGGAAGGAAGAGGAGGCGTTTTTTAATAATAATAATAATTTCGCTTTTATTCCAGAAACAGTACTAGTGGTGCAGTGTGGAACTTTCAGCACATATCTACAATATTGCATCTAATTTCATCGCACATTTAGAAGGAGTATTCCAAAAATAAATAAAAATAAAGACAACAACAAAAACAAAAAAGTCACAAAATAATGAAAAGATGCGAAAAAATACCAAGAAGTAAAATGGAAAATAAACACCAATAATGAATAATATCTCAGTATTGGGTAGTGGAAGCTATGATATGTGTATGCGTGGTGAACAGTAAAACTATAGTCATACAAGAAGTGATGAAATTATATTAAGAATGTTTATCACCAAGATGATCAGTTAATTTGATTGAACAACAAACACTAAACAATCATAAAGTAAACATTTCAGGTTGTGTTGTTTTATTGTCAGGTCTAATGCGGTGTTTGTAGTGGTAGTGTGAGTAATCCTGCATAATACAACATTTTTAAGATGGTAATAATGGCATTCATAACCGAGATTGTCAGTTTTAATATTGCCGAACAAAGAAAAAACAATCACAAAACTAATATTACATGGTGGTTAATGACAGGACCATTTTGTAATACTCATAGTGATAATATAGTCGGACCCAGTAGATATACACAAAAGAAGGAATAGAGGAAAGTACAAAAACAAAGTAAGCCAGTGTTAATATTCAGGTAGCTAAGTTTATATTCAAGAAGGTGTTCACTGTAGAATACAAATAAGAGAGAAATAAAATAGCCAAAATTATGGTATTAACAACAAAGCAAGTCATAGGTTTCGCGCTAAACATTGTCTCTGTCACTTAGAACACGTGCCAAATATGTTATCGTTGAGTTCCTCTACTTGGTTGTACGAGCATATATTATATATATTATATTATACTGGTTCTACCTGATGAGATGCAAGGAGAGAGTTGGGAATAGAGGGGGTGTTGTGGGGGTCGGAGGGAATAACCAGTGTGTGTGTGTTGAAAAGGTGTGTTCGATTATCAGACTACTTATGGGGAGAGAGCCATTACTACTGCCTTTCTACAGCTATGCAGGATAATGTTCTTTTGATAGATTATCGAAATGGACTGTACAGCTTACCACCGTTGATTCGATGAGATGACGATACTTCCATTTGTATGTTTCCTAATAATAGAGAAGATTTTGTAGCTCAGGTGGATGATATGCAATTAATAGTATTCTCTGAGGAGCTGGTTGGTTTGGTTGCGGAGCTTTCGTCGTCCGCCTGCTGGACAGCATCCCCTTTCAGAGCAATTTTTGCAGCATAAAGTGAACTGATTTAAATTTTTTTTCCCTGAGTGATAGAATTGCCTCTCCCGGTAACCATCTTTACATATGTATATTGACCACTTTCTATTAACTTGGATTTTAAACTTTCTCGTCACATGATTTACGCTTTATTAGTTGGTATATTTGGTCTATGTGTTAACGTGTTGGTCAATTGCATATTCATTTGAGTGAGTACCAAGCTTGGCCTCTAGGAATTCTCTGACTGCAGTTTTGGTGTTTCCTCTGTCTAAGATTTCGACATTCTCCCAGTCATCAAACTGATGTCCATAATTATCTACATGCATTGATATGAAAGAATGTGGATATCATGCCTTTTCACAGCTGATTTGAGTTCCTGGATTCTGATTCGAAGGGAACGCCCACTTCGATCACAGATGTAATGCCTGTCACAGTTCATACACGGAATTTATTTTGTAAATGGTATTAATTTCATCTCCTTTTTCTGTTGAATGTGTCTTTCGGTTTGCACAATATCGAATGCAGTAATTTGGCTGGCTTGTGTGCTATATGTATATCAAACGGTTTCAGTATTCTAACTGTTATTTCAGAGATATTTTTCATGTATGGTAGGATAAATTTTCTTGTGTTATTTGATGATGGTTCCTTGTTGGTGTTGTGACTGGATTTTCAACACTTTTTGATGAAATTTTGTGGATGACCATTATTTTTGAAGACGGTTTGTAGGTATTTTTCTTCTACTCTTTTCAACTCTGGAGTGCTACAGTGTTGTGTTTAAACTCTCTTGTGAACAATGTCTGCACACAGTTTCTTTTGTAGGTAATTGGATTATTGCTAGTATAGTTGAGTATTTGATCTGTGTGTGTTGATCTTCTATATACCTGCGTTTCTAAATTTCGTGTGTTAGTTCTCCTGATTAAGACATCTAAAAATGGGATTTTGTTATCTAATTCTTCTTCTCTTGTGGTGAATGCGATGTCTTCAAATATGTTGTTTATTAATTTATGGGTATATTCTAAATCGTTTCTCTTAATTATTACAAATGTATCATCAACGTAGCGTACCTGTCCAGATTTTCGGTTTAATTGTAGGTAGATCTATTAATTCTAATCTTTGCATGATGGCTTCATCTATTAATCCTGAAATGGGTGATGATCCCATTGGTGTTCCTTTTATCTGTTCATATATTTGAGTATTCAATTGGAAATATGTTGTAAGACATGAATAATTCTATGAGTTCTATCCAAGTTGAACATTGCGTTTTTATGTTTTCATCACTATAGAGTAATTGTTGCATAGTGTCTGTTGCTAGTTTTGGACTAATTGATGTATATAATGCTGTGACATCAAAGGACACCATTATTTCATTGTCTTCTATTTGAATGTTTTCGATTTTCTCCAAAAATTGTATCGACGAATTTTATTTATTTATTTAAACGCATAAAAACTTGGTACAATATGGCACCAAGAAGGATGCGCCGCACAATAATAATAAAATAACATAGATCAAAAAAAGAAAAAAATATAAGTAGAGAACTTGATCTGGAAGGAAAACAGTTTTGCTTAACAAGTTCAAACAGTATTTGTTAACTATCATTGGGAAGGAAAGAAAGAAGGGAATTGCAACACGTTCGCCATTGATTACGATTCTTGGCCATATCCGATAACGTTTCGAGCCATCGATTTGAGCTATCTCGCGGAACCCAACCAGGAAGTCGTGACACACCAACCGATGCTAATCTAGCACAAAAATCCTTCATCACACGACGCCACGTCATGGACTGATCACCTTTCCGCCTTTTTCATCCCGTCCCAGGGCTGGCTAGCGAACAGAGACCTGTACACGGAAGCCTCTGGGATGACATTCGCAGCATATGTCAAGCCACCAGAGCCAGTGTTTCCAGATGATGACATTCAATGAATGGTGATCTCCCCTGTGTTCAAACACACGCCGCCAAACCTCAGAATTACTCACGCGATGATACCATCCATCGAACGCAAGCAATCCTGCGGAGACAGTGATGATCGAATACGCAGAGTCGCCGCACATCCTCAGCTGACTCGGAGAGGCCAGGTTTCACAGGTGTAGAGCAGGGCAGCCCGCACCGCAGCATTGTATACCCGACCTTTGACAGCCAGGCTAACATCGCGACGGCGCCATAGGTGGCTCAAGTTGATGTATGCCACCCTAGCCTTCATTATACGGTTGGAAATCTCATCCATCATCCCCCCGCCAGCACTCACACAACTACCCAGGTACACAAACTTATCAACAACTTCAAGCGGTTCACCCGCAAGAGTGACTACAGGTACAGGCTCCTGCCAATCTTGTAACAGTACTTTGCACTTAGACGGCGCAAAGCGCATACCATACTTACAGACGCTGATCGCCAACTGACGAATTGATAGAATGATCGCATGATTCTGTTAGATGGTAATTTAATTTCCTGAAAAGTTCTTTAGATAGATTATATACATGTTGGTGTTCCTGGCAGTGAAACGAATGGTCAGCGTAACTAAACCAACCAACCAGCTCAGAGAACACTATTAATGGCAAATACTTCTTAATAAGACACAAATTTCTTGTTTTTTTTTCGATTTTTTTCTCTAGTGATAAACATGGAAATCAATCGATTTCTGAAAGAATCTTGGATCATCATTTATCGAAAATGATCAACAAAGTAGAAGCGGAGGAAGAAGAGGAAGTGGAAGTCGAAGTAGAACACCAGCAGCAACAACAACACCGCCAACACCATCACAACCAACCACAACACCAACAAATGCTTCTACATCAAAACAACAAAAAGAAATATCTAGACAGTATTGAATTTCTTAATCCACGTATTCTTCCACCTTCAGAAAGTTTAGTTGTCGGTCGTCTATCCTTAGATAATCATCAATTTGCGCAAAGATTCTCCTCAGTGTCAGCCGCATCACTGTTAGACAGTTATGCTGTTCACCCGAATTTACATCATACAGATAACAGAGAGATGAATGAACACATAAACAGCAAACAACACCAGCACCACCACCAACACCAAGAACTTTCGAATGATGAATTTATGCAATTCCATAAAACATTCCAATTGGGGAGATCATATGAGTCTAGTAATAATAATAATAGTAATAATAATGGTAATAATAATCCGTTGATTATGACGTCATCAAAACTATTTCACCATGATGAAAATCTAATCTCGAATGTATCAAACCATCTATTGCTGGAGAATAATCATTGTCAATCTGCTGTCGTTAAAAATGCCACCTCTGTCACAACTAACACTGACGATTGCATAAATAATAATAATAATGCCAGTAATAATAATAAACTGTATTCAGAATCACTCAAATCTTTGAGTATGCCAATATTTAATAACACCTATTATAGACAGCTGAATTCTATGAATACAGACCGTGAAAAGTCTACAGATCGAAGCCATTCAGATACTACTAATACTCCTGTTAATAATAATAGTAGTAGTGGTAGTAGTAATATGTTGTTTAAAACGGAGGATAATTTGTCAGATTTCCCGTGTAACTCTGCAACAACCACAACACCAACAACATTACTGTCTAATCGATTAAAAGAGAATGATAGTTCAAATATTACAATCATGAGTGGTAGCAGTGGGAGTGGGAGTGAGAGTCGTAGTATCGGTGGCGGTGTGGGTGCTGTCGGTGGCATTATTCCTTCTGTAAATACTGTCAATTGTGAGTCATTGAGTGTATTGACACGGGATATGATGAGAGCTTATTTAACAGATAGACGGGATCAAGTATTGATTATTCTTCATGCAAAAGTTGCACAAAAATCTTATGGGACAGAAAAACGGTAAGTTGTGTGTGTGTGTCATTTTTGTGTGTGTTTATTATTAAGTTGAGCAGTACAATATTACGTAATTAAGAGATTTTAACCAGGCTCATTCGTGAACATATTGCTCCCTTTTTCTATGTCTTTGATTATACGTGTCTGCATTCTATCTCCCGTGTTAGATGGTATATATGGGTAGGGTGAACGGCGAAGTTCAACAATAGCGTCGTCCCAGAAGTTTGAACGCTCCAATGACTCTAAACACGCATGCTAGTCGTTGGCCAACGGCATCTGTCACTATCACAGCTGAAATATCAACGCTATTCACCAACTTAGGAGAAAATTTCACCCAGATATCACGTTTTTAAGTACTGTTTAGACAATGTGTTAATAGCTCGTCAGGGTTAGGTTAGGGTTAGAATTACGGTTTGAATAAGGTTTATGATTAAGGTTAGGATTAGTGTTAGGGTCAGATTAAGCTTATGGTTACGATTATGGATAGATTTGCAGTTGATGTCATTTATTTTAATTTGTTTTATTGTCCACATTTTCCTGGTAAGTAGTCGTCGATCCTCTTGCTGGGAGCCATAATAATTCAACCGCGGGCTTTTTTTGGAAGACTGCGCAACAGGATGAGAGAGATAAACGATTCACAAAAACAGTCTATCTGTAGTCATTTCGGGGAATATATGTACAGAAACTAGTCTAACTTCGCAAATGATACTCCTCGTTACAACTAGGACGTATTTTTAAGCCATGTCAGAGAAGATAACCTGATTGGTGCGTTTTCAAGCATTTTCTTGTCAATATACATCATATTTTTGAGAAAACATTCCTCGTTTTTATGATTGGTCAGCTGAAGGTGTCACTGGTGCGTTCGCACTCCTGGGACACTATTGTTGAACTTTGCCGAGTGAGCAATATATTCAGCTTAGGCGTCGGTCGAGTGCTGGGCAGGGAGGGGGAATCAATCCATGAGACTGTGAAGTTACGCTAATTGAGATGGTTGAGACATGTGTACATGTGTTACGCGCATACCTAGCGCTTCGCCTACCTCGACGGGCGGTGATGTTAGCTGACATAGGATGGATCATGTTGGAAAAGAGTTAGCTAATGTTGGTTGTGGTCAAACGAAAACATGGCTTCATCAGTCAATGAAATCCACAACAGTTAGTTTAAGCTAACCGGTCGGCCAGCCAGTCAGGCAGTCACATAGGGAAGTGTAGACTGACTACCTGGTTGTGGTCTTCGGGATGGTAAGAGCCAGTGGCTGGAGACAATTGGGTGATACGGCTGAAAATCGTTCTGAATGACTGACGCAGATTCGTTCACTAATTGTGATTTATCATATCTAATAAAAAGTCTATTTTTCTTCCATATTACTATTGTTTTTTGCCTCACATTTGTGTTTATTATCTCTGTTTACTGTGTTCTTTTGCGACATGAAGTGTGACAACTCGAACTAGTGCACATTTGTGTAAATTTCTACGTTGAAACCAGTCTCAGTCAGCTGTTTTTCCATGTAAAAGTGATGATGACAGCAGTGTGAGCGGGAAAAACAATATGGTTTTACTGGTTACAGTAGATCACGAGGAGTGTGAATGCGTCCTCACCAATGAGAACTATTTTGAACTGTCTCACCAATTGTGTTTAGCTGTCAGCTGGTTCTTCGAATCTAGAGGACCCGGTGACCGGGCAATCAGTCTACGCGCCTCTCTCTCTGTCTACATGGCTAGCTCAAAATAACTGTCAACTCGTTATTAAACCTGCAACCAACCGAACCCCTCCCTCTCTGTAAAACCCCATTACTATTAAGTACCAGTAAAGCACGCGTAAACCTTCATCAATAGCTGTCTTCGTTCAATACTCCGCTCAAGATCAGATGGCCGGCCAGAAAAGATCAGCAAGATGGAGGGATCTCTGGCAATGAGCGAACCAACCTAGCAGGAATCAATTGTGCAACAAATATGCATGCAGGAAGAAATGGAGGTGGATTGACTAGCCATACTCTGACAAGACAAACCATCAAGTGAGTGACATCACACACACCAGGTCATCGCTCGAGTGGAACCCCGGCCGAACGGGAAGTTGTGAGTTGGTCGTCAGCGCGAGGGTGACATGGAGGACGGGATTTGAAGAGGAGATGGAAGCATGTGGGTATTATAATAAATGCTAGGCATCAGTGCGTCGGTGGCATAGAGGTAGAATGCTCGCCAACCAAGCCTCATGTGGTCCGGGGTTCAATCCTCGGCCATCGACGCACTACCAAACCTCGTTAAGCCAGTAATAGGACTGTCAAAGAGGGAAGGCGGCTGGCCATATAAGGCTAACAACCCCATCCCGTAGAAATAAACACCACTGCTACCGAAACTTCAAGCCTGTAGCTTGAAGCCGCCCTATGTTCGTTCCACTGGAAACGTAAAATAATAAAAAAAAAATGAAAAAAATCGGAAAGTGACTGTTGACAGATTTCGTGTTTCATTCTACTGGTCAACAGGGCGTGTTTACAATTTCAAAAGAGTATACATTATCTCAGCTATAATGACTTTCAAACCTTTTTCATATTATGCGCTAATTTTATTGACTGTAATGCTGTTATACAACATTCAAGTTATGACTAAAAAAAACTTGTCCGGTGGTAGTCATCAATGTCGCTATTTCATCTTAATTTTGAACAACTGCAATCAACGGACCAATTGAAGTCCACTTAACAAGATATTGTCTACCGTGATATCTTAACAAAAGGGACTTAAGATCTCAAGCTATCAAAAGCCAGTGGAAATGATCAAAGGTTGGCGATGCCATTGATATATACATATCAAAACACTAAAATGTCATCTATTTAGAAGAACCCTACCCCCTACTCTGTCTGTAGTACTCCGTCGTTTCAACTGCAGCCGACTCCACAGAGATGAGGATGTGAAAGTCAGAATCAGAAAGGCAAAACAGACAAAACCTTCATCACTCTGAAATCTCAGTTTGGAAATACTCCACCCACACTGTCAGCATAAGGAACGAAATTCAGATTTTCAACACTAATGTTAGTGAGTCAGAAACTTACACTGCGTGCGTGTGCGACACGAAAAGCACTTTGAACAACCAGTCGCAGACTTTTATCAACAGCTGCCACCTTCGTTGGGTTCATACTGAAGATCAGATGGCTGGTCAGTCGGAAAGAATTACTGGCTGTGACTGGTTTCGACATAGAACATTGCACCGATGTGCAGCTGTTCAAGTCGCCACACATCATCACTCAGTACACAAAGCCAGAGAAGAAGAAGAAAGTAAAAAGAAGTGTAAAATAGAGACAGTAAACATAGATATGAGGCAAAAAGAATAGTAATATCGAGGGACCATATAGTCTGATTGGGTATTATAAGTCACAAGGAGTGGATGCATCTGTGCCAGCCATTGAGAACGATCACTTTGAGCCATATCACCAATTGTCTCCAGCCTTCATTGGTGTTTACCGTCTCAAGGACCCCAACCAGTCAGGAAGTCTACACCTTCCTACTTGGCTTAAACTAACTAGTGTTGATTTCATTGACTGATGAAGCCATGTTTTCGTTTGACCACCAGTGGCTCTTTTGCATCCTGATCCATTCTACATCAGCAAACACTACCCATCGGGGAAGGCGATGGCTAAGGATGCATGACGTGACATATGTCCTAACCATATTAATCGATGTAACTTCACACTGACTTGTCAATTGATTTCCTCTCCTTACCTAGCACTCGACGCCTAACCTCGATATTGTTCACCTAATTACATCATTTCACACAGGAGATAGAACGCAGTCACCTATGATCAAAGACAGCCAGCTAGCTTTTTCATGCCTTCCACTTGCAATGACCATGTCTTCCTCACAGCCATAAAAAAGTATAGAGGAGATTGCTAAGCAGTACTTATGTCGTTTGGTCGATAGTCAGCCGGATATTACGTCTACATCAGAGACGGCGTAAACTGGCATATGAGAAACTAGTCTTCTGTATCCGAGCTGAGATTTCGTCAGGGATCAACCCGTTGGCGTTGGCCGATGCAACTTCCCAAATAAGTGAAGTGGTCAGCACGCTCAACCAACCACTTCATCTCCTATTTCTAAGCTAGGAGTGAGTCAATGTAGTCCAGTTAGTCCTGTAGCATCATCTTACGTCTGGCGAGTGCCGAATCTCATGTCAAACATTCGCAGATTGCAATTCAAGATGCTCAGAAGACTCTACTGGATTTTGTCAGCGTCTTCACCCAGGTGGGAGGGCTATATCATCTGCATGCTCTTAGTCAAGGAGATCATTCCCTGGTAACAAGTCAATCCCTGAGTCGGTAAAGTCATCAGTTAGGGTCGGTGGCACAGTGGTTAGGACTCTCGCCGACCATTCACATAGTTCGGGGTTCGAGCCCGCACCGACGCACACCTGATATCTATGGTCGGCCTGCAAAATTTGGGCTACCGATATCTATGCTGAAAATTCCATACTTGTACCGAAAATACAGTGTGGAATCAAGCTGTAAATAAAAAAAAATAAAAAAAAAATAATTCCATTGGTACATCTATGATGAAATTCAATAGAAATGGGAACAGTGGAACTCTGCAGTGTAACGAATCAATCAAGAACCTGTTGTTCAGCAAATATTCAGAAGAAAATGGAGATTTATCGGACACTCACCACTGAGGAGAACGTCGAGTGACATTGCGTACCAGGCAGATCCTCGAGTGGAAATCGAATGTGAAACGACGAGCTGGGCTTCGGTCGATCCGAAGTTGACATAGAGAAGATCGTATGATGAGGAGACGATAGATTATGGGTAGTCGTGGCGTCAGCTAAAGAGGGGTGCAGAGAACAGGACACAACTGAGATATGGTATTGAAGCCTTGTGCTCCAATTGGAACCTAAGGGAATAATAATGATAATAAATTCAGCGATAATCCCCACCTAGGCATCAATGAAAACAAAACACGTAGTTCAGCGAAGAGTCTCTTTTCAGCGAATTCATTTAACTGGCTGTACAATCGCAAATATAT